GCCAGTCATCTATATCTTACAGTCCTGCCTTGCACAATATGCAGAACATGATGCACACAACCATGCATCATGCAGCCCAATGAAAGCACAACACTGTGAGAAAACTGGAGCTTTTTGGGAGGAGAATATGACAGGGCTCTGCTGAAGATACAGTAGTAGGTTATGAAAAGCAAAGGCAGTGTCTGTGCACGGGAGTCTGTATTTTGAGTAGTGATAAATAGCAAAGGTCATGAGCTGAGTGGTTCTCTTAGTTACCAAACTCTGTGACATGCAAATGATTAACCTTAGTTCAGAAGCTTTTAACCACCATTAGGAGCAAGATAGTTTTCTCATTTGTATTCAGTTTCCACTTTAATTAGGGCCTATACACAAACAAGATAAGAATTTGATAATAAGTAACTGATCAACAGGGAAATCTTGAGGCAAAGAAGAATTCCTGAGCTGAACTTAATTTTGAGACTCAGTACTTACTTCCAGTTTTAGAGAGACACCCAGAACGGGGAATCCAATCTAAGGGTTTATTGCAAAGGGTGTTAGAATAGAAACTGTTTTTCTACATAGAACTATCTGTGGATTATACATTAGACTGACCATTCCCTTGGATACTCTTGTGTTCCCTACACTATATGCAAACACTCAATGCTACTGGTTTTGTAAGTTTATATTTGCAGAGGTATAATTTATTTAGATTTGGTCTCCTATATGTACAGAACATATCCCATGTTTTGGGATAAATAGCACAGTTATAGGAGAAGACATCACACGGGGGCGGTGCAGTGGCTCTGTGCCGGTTTGTATCCCGCGGCTGGCAGAGGAATCCTACTCCGTTGGGCCCCCGAGCAAGGCCCTTCACCCCAACTGCTTCAGGGGTGACGTATAAATGGCTGACCCTGCGCTCTGACCCCCAGCTTCTCTCCCTGTCTGTGTGTCTCATAGAGAGCAAGCTGGGGTCTGTGAAAAGACACATTTCTAATACAAGAAATTGTATGTGGCCAATAAAGTGATCTTATCATCTCGTCTCATTTAACAGTCTCCTACTCAGATGAACAGTGCTGTGGGACCGTTAATGATCTCAGTTCAACAGTAGGTGTCACTCTTGGTATCTTAGTGTAGAAACAAACACTTGACTATAGTTTTCATAGTGCAATGTATACTCCGGATGCAAAATACTTCTATGATAACCTTATCATATAAGCAAAATACTTAATAAACAAAATATTTGTTCAGGTTGCTAAATTACAAAAGTACTCATTTTCATTGTTTCTTTTCTACACACAGTTGCATCTACCACGCACCCAGAAATGTAATAATGAATCTCTCCATCCAAGCAGCTAGTGTTGTGCCAGTATAACAACTGTGCTGTTTTTGTATTAAGTGCTGGCATACCTGTGTTTGACTGTTTCATTTATGTTCAGTTTCTGTTCATTATTGGATCTTCCAGATTGCCCAAAAAGTGATAATTGATAAGGAAATATTATACTCATATATATATATATCTCAAGATATTATTTATATCAGTAATTTCATCATGTGATTGATTTCACGAGGAATAACAAAGCCCCAAAATTGAAACGTAACAAACTATTGTGGAGTGAATATTTGGCTTAACCCACTTGGCTGAGGGCCAACCATTGCATTAGCATTGACTTTCTAAAAAGCCAGGTTTTATTCCAACATCAAAAAGACCACCTTCTGTAAAGTGCTGTCTGTAACAAGCACTGCATGTGCGTTCCAAATTCGGTTTCAAGGTGGGAAAATTTGGTATTTATAGTGTTCGGTGGAGGAAGGACGAATGGAGTGATTGCTAATCACTGACGGCTGGGGATGATTGAGTGTGGTTGTGGTCATCCCTCCCGATCTTTAGTTAAATAAACTCCATTTAAAGACTTCTATCTACTAGTATGACTGTACTTGATAATGGTGAAAAACAGATGTGTCTTCTAGTGGCCAGGCCACCCTGTAATTGTTTGTAAGCACAAGCCAACTACTTTTTGGAGTTCATTAAGTTCATTAAGTATTTACCTCTTCTTTTATATTATAATCATTTTTATATTATTCCTTTAAAAGCATCGTTATCGTTAAATATTTGAGACAAAAGCAAGCAGTTTACAAAGACAGGAGCTAACAAAATTAGCACAAATAAACACTAGGCAGTAGAAGATGCAGTGCACAGACACAGACACAAATTAATAAGAGCCTTTCTGAAGAGAAAGGTCTTGAGTCTGGATTTGAATGTGCTCAGGGTGGGAGACTCTCTGATATCCATGGGGAGAGAGTTCCAGAGCTCTGGGGTGCAGCAGGAGAAGCCCTGTCACCCACAGAGTGTGGACAACACACAACACAGAGTCAGATTAAAGAAGGTTGCAGGGAGGGGAGCAGGAAGATACTGGACCTAAAAGCCAAAAGACCACAACTGTTTACTCATTTTGACTGGAATGCGGTATCGTTTGTTTGACCACTGCAGATGCTGATTTAAATTAAGATCCGTTACCTTTCACTTCATAAACAGAGAGAGGTAGGGAATATCTCACCTGGAAAGTTAAACACCCTCAATGTAACTAAAGTCCACTAGATTAGTTTGCATGACAGTCCAAAACTGTCATGCTGATGACAAAGTAGTAATAAAATCTGTATTGTTTGCATCTTAATTACAGCTCTCAGAGTGAGTCTGGAGAGAATAAAAAAAAGAGACTCGACAGCACAAAGGAGTAAAAACAGAGATAATTCCAGTCTGAATAATGAGATCAACAGCCTGAGAGTGGAGATCATGAAACTAGAAATTGGGTTTATGAAGCTACAGGAATAAAGAAAGGAAAGATTGTCATGTACTAGATTCTCTGTGCTAAGATTAACCAATACAAAATTTTGACATTAGGATTCGAACAATTCATTCATTTCATACTGTATATTCATATATGATTAATAGATTCATATATTGCTTTTTACACTCAGTATAATTTACCACTCCTTTAGAAATGTATAAATTAGGGCTTTGTTTGGATTACAGATATACAGAAGGGTCAGTAGCTTTATGTGCCTTTAGAATACTGTGGTATTCAATGAGTACATGACTGCAGTGAAGTAACACCCATTACCTAGATATCTCTGAAACAGTGCTTCTCAAGGCTTAAATGCAATTTATTGAATGTGTTGAAATGACACAAAGAGAAACAAGAGTCATGCAAAGTGGGAATTTTTTATTGATCAGATTCAGCATTTTGCATAGGAAAGGAAAGCAAGATGCAGTTTTTCATGTGTGTTGAACAGTCAGCCCATGGGTATGGATTCAGATAAATTGTTTGATATATAATTGGGTGATATGCTGATAAATAAACAGGAACACTTTACAGCTATTTATATTTTATATGGCAAGTCAAAACAATCCAGAGCTTAAATTTGCATATATTTTTTCTATTTAGTTGTAATAAAATAATGCAAAACCTATAGCGCTTTTGGACTTTTTCCTGCGTAGCTTTACCTTTTTAGATGTAACTGTATAATTACAAAACTCTTCACATAGAAGAAAAACAACAGTATGTTTCCTTTTTCTCTAAAGAGTTAACAATGTAAGCAATAATTGGAAAAAGATGCCTGACTGAGTTTAAACTCATTAAAAAATAGATTGCTTTAATCGTAACGGGGTGCGTTGTAGTTTAACAGGTAATTTAAATGGATTGAAACAAAAATAAAAATCATTTAGATCAGCAGAGTGCAGCAGTCAGTTTACTTCCTGCTCACTGCTGTTTGCTGTGGGCTATCATTCCCCTTGAAGACCTGTTTGTGTGCTCTTGGCTGCCAGTCTTCTTCTGACCCTTAGCAACAGATTTCATAGATCTGGGGGTGTTCTTGTCCGCACATTATGTTTCCTTGCAGCCACACGTCTCAGCGAACGTGTAGAATAAATACAGCAAGCAATCACTGAAAATTAAGGGAGGAAATAATTCTGCAGCAGTCACCTAGCCCCTCTTTAATTAAATATATTCATTTCAGCTGACAGTCTTTGGTAGTTGGATGTGTATCATATATTTTAAATGTAGAAGAAACAAAAGCACAGGATTCGGGGTTAAAATCAGGGTAGTGCAGTCTTCATTCTCCTCGAGTTCACCGTCGCCTTCTGTACACTTTCCGCCCCTTTGAGGACTTGGAGGGCTCCTGACCCTTGCTGGTAGACTGCTGGGTGTCCCTGTCCTCACACTCGATCTCCTTGCAGCCGCACTTCTCAACGTAGGTGTAGGAGTGGCTGAACGTGGTGCCGTCGGGGCAAACCATCTGCACCTGCTTCTGAGTGGTGTCCATCTCCTGGCAGCAGGAGCAGGTGTGGTCCATGGCGTTGGCCTCCACAGAGTACCTGGCAAGGGCAGGACAGAGGGTTGAGCCTGGAGAGGTGTGCAGGCATGGGCAGGGCAGCGGGACTCGCAGTTACTGTCCCACGCACTGCTGCATGGAAGGGTTCACTGATACTGTGTACATGATACTAAGCCCAGTTATGTACTTTTAGCTGCATTACTGTACTTCACAAATGAAGTGGGCTTGTCACTCGTTGTGGTTGATGGTTGTGTGTGTAAAGTAGTTTCATTCAAAACCTCTTTTTTGAATCATTCCTGATCTCAGAAAAATGTAGAATACCGGACGTAGAGCCATAATTTCAAGCATTGCCCTATTATAATGATAAGGGTGTGTGAGAGCTATGTGAAACCTGAGCATGAAACAACTCCAAGCTGCAGGGAGAGGCTGCAGAGTTCTGAAACTCACATGGAGTAGGTTCCACAGGAGCCCCCACACGACGTGATGTCCACAGGTTTGCTGGATTGGCAGCCGTTGTTGGTGATGTAGGTGGTGTTCGTCTTAATGTTGCAGTTCCTTGGTATTAAAGGACCTGGACAAGTGACACACAGAGAGCGTTACTGACACTGCTTGAAGAAGTGAGGTAGACTGTTTGTTTTGCTATATGGGGTTGATGCCATTGTGCTCCAAACTCCACATGAAAGATGTACCAATCCAAATTCAAACCCAGAACCCAAGAGCATTATCTACCACACCCTGTCAAGGAGAAGTAAGATCAGCTTCAAGACTGTGGACTCCTTCAGGATTACTCCACTAATGAGTAAAGACAAGGTCACCAGGACCGAGCTCTGATTTATACAAAATAAATGGCTTCTAGTTACCATTGATTTTGTTAATGAAGCACAGTATTTATTCACAGTGGTTTACAGTGTTGATTTCAAGAATGTAACAAATATGTAAATGATACTCACAGACATGGCAACAGCCATCTGGGGCAATTGTCTCTGTGCCCTGCAGTAACAAATTTAGATAAGATTTTTATGAGAAAAGGTCTGTTTAAAACCGAGAACAGGAGGCTTGTTTTTAAACGAAGGCACTTGGAAGAACACTTCCTGAAGGCACTTCCTGATTCTTTCAGGAAAAAGGTGGATGACCATACAAACCAGTTGTTAGGCCATACAGAATGGAAATTGTGACAATATAGCTTTCTTAACCAAGTCTATGCAACGTAGGTCCAGGATTGGACAAAACCCACAGTCATTGTTAATTGTCTTTTAAATTTGGAATCCCAGTTTATTTTTTTATCCTAATCCAACACAGTAGGAATCACCAAACTCAGAGCTGGCTCAGAGCTGTGAAACCTGCAGCCTTGTACACTCTCACACAGGAGAATGAGGAAGTGACTCGTACACTTACAGGAATGCAGTCCTTGCGGTTGAAGAGAGGGCAGGTGATCTTGGCCTCTACTGGTACAAACTGATCCTCGATCTTCACACACTCATATTTCACACATTTGTCACCAGGGGGCGACCAGGTGTTTCCAGGCTGTGATCGCGAAGGAGACGTCATTAACGTAGTGCAGTAAAACTTAACATTTGATATGCCATCCCTCTTTCTGAACATGTATTTTAACTCTGCCCTCATCATAGAATCCCCTCATGCATCGGGTGTTAAAAGTGATCCAGTTAATAAAATTGCACATTGTGTAATTAATGTTTTTAGTTTATTAAGATTGAGTTTAGTTACACTGAATTTATATTTTAGTTAGTAAAT